ACAGAATCACAAAAGTTTAGTGCTGCCCTTCTTTGAGAAACTGGCAAACTCAACCAATTCCAGATAACGCTCAGCAACAAATTCGGAGCCTTTCACGATCTATTTTAGTGGAGAGGAAACTACTATGGTGAACAGCTAAGCAAGAAGACAATGAGGCAATAACGTCAGCATGCCTTGAGGTTTGGAGAAGCACAAAAAGCACCACCACAAGACATAGATCCTTGTTGATACTTTGGATAAGATTGAAGAAAGGAAGAACAGGAAGATTGCGATCAACAGCAATCAAAAAAGAGCAGAGAAAGCGAGGACACAGGCCGAAGGCACATAAGCAAAAAACGAAGTGAGGATGGTTATTAACCCTTATGAGCGAAACTATGCGAAAGACCTTGCAGCGATAGCGGAGAAAGCTGTGAGACAAGGAAACATGAGACAACTATTCTATGCAACCGAAAATCTTGTTAGAAGGTATGATAAACCAGAGCCATAAGTGAGAAGCATGGAAGACAAACCAGTCACCGACAGCAAAACATGTATGTAGAACACTTTGAAGTACCTAATGATTACTCACGCTGTTTATTTGATCTTTAATTTACCTTATAATGTCTACAGACCTTTCATTTTGTAAATATCGATTGATTGAGGCGATTTTCCTGCAATTATATCCACATTCAGTTCATAACATAAACGAAAATTATCACCTGTGGTTACAAAGAACAAGATTTAACATAAACTTGTTATAAATCCTTACTTAGTCAGATGCGAATTTTTCATCAGTTTTCTTTTAAAACTACTAAATGACAAATCGCTTCTCTTCCCTGAAATCAGTAAAATTGCAATCAGTTTCTCATTCCATTAGTGTTTTTATAACTTTAGTTTCCGAAAGATCTTGGTTGATCTCGAACATATTCATTAAAACTGATATGTCTGGAGAAATAGTCACTGCTAGGACTAACTGATGGATTATTATTATATATGTTCTCATTGTATAATTATCAAATAACTAGATTATTACTTTTGTCATAAGCTCTTGATTAACCCTTCAATTAATTTTGTGTGATTTACTACTTCTTATCTTTTAGCGGTTCACCATTAACAACCACTTTTGACTTGCTCATATATAAATGTACTATTTAATTCTATGGTGTGATGTTTGGTGTATATAAACTATGCCTGCTTGAAGTATGACGAATTTTGTGGAGACTGGCTATGGACTACTGGAGTCAGAGGAACGGTATAGAGAAATTAATTATCGATTTGTGGACCAATGAGGATTTAAAGCTGACTCAACATTGCTGGCATTTAATTTTGATTGACATGTTGTATTTATCACCTGATATCGGGCAACGGTTAGGTATACAACAGAAACCCTTACTAAATAGTAACGTTCATAACATTTGGTGTTGTTTTATACAATGAAAACTCATTATGAATTAAGAGGGGCACACTAAATGAAAAATAGTTCAGTTAGTATAACCGCACTTGATAAATAGTTTTGTATTGGATTACCAGAATCTATGCATACTCAACTATGACATTTATCGTGGGTCATTCGAGATTCTTTACTAGAAAGCAGTTAGTAGATTACAAAATAACACAGTCTTCTTTATTAACAAGGGTAATATGAGTATCCATTTCAAGTATACCAGTCAGAGAAATCCACTTCACTTTTAAGTCCAGCTTTTACAACATCTTGAACCTGGCATTAAAATCTCTTAGAATTAATGAATTTTTAGCTAGAGGTGAGTTACAGTGTTTCGTTCAACTACCAGAACGTTTTCACCATAGACTAATATCTCTTCCTGAAAAGCTTCATGTAAGGCTTTTAGTTATTGTTTCTGTGATTTTCTGGTGAATTATTTAACAAATTAATGCGCAATTTCAAATTTTGTTTGACTTTCAGACTGATCAGAAATAATTTAGATCTGTCAACGTTCTAAGTGCTTACAAACTTTGCATTGATTGGATTTGAATTGGACTAGATGATTTGTGCAGTAATCTTTGAAGATTGATAGTATTTGGAACCATGGGTCATAAGCCATAAACCGAATGAGCTTGAAATAATACCCCGCTTGATATTCAAGTCTTCTAAATAGACATCAAGTTAATCACCGTTGATAAATATTCTAGTTTAGCAGTAGAAGTTATATTGCACTGTTTGTAGTAATATCGAGAACGTTCTATTCATCAAACCGAAATTGATTAATGTAGCAGGTTTCAAAATAACTGTAACAAAATAATCCTCATTAAATAAGGTTCAAGACAATCAAAGAGTTGAGATTTCTTTGTACGTAAAACTAGACTAAACACTCATGAAGTATTTTTCATTTAGTTTAGGGCTGTTACTCATTGTATAGTTAGCACAGTGATGAAATAGAAATAAATGCCTATTTTAGTCGTTATTCACCTATCTTTCAATTCCAACTGTTGATACACAGAACGGCAAAGTTATTTTCATGGTCACTATAACCAATATCCAACATAGTGTATTCATTTGTCACAGAGGTAATTATCACAAATTTCTACTATATACTGTTTCAATTACATACAGTACTCACGAAAGAATTACCATTTCCAGTTATACAGCTGTTTAAAAATCAATCGAAATTCACAAATAACTTGTTCATTCAAAAAATCAACTGTATGATCAATTACAAAAATAATTCCAGTGAATTTCGCCAAAATTAAAGAAGAATAATTAATTTTTTATTTGACGTTTCAGTCAGTTTTCCATTTTCAAAGAGTTTAATTTTCGGTCAGAAAAATAAATTATTTTATGTATAGTTGAGCTGGTTCATTTAACCAATGCTTCAGTTATATTTTTTTCTGATCGCTTGCTATAATAGTTATAAACTCAATGAACAAGTTAGTAAACATATTAAATAGGTTACCTTGTGAATAAGGCATTGTGTATAAAGAAACGGTAGTTCAGTCAAGTGTAAGCGTGAATACCAGGGATGCAATTATATCAGGCTGACCTGATTTCCTCCTCCACTGGAATCTGGTTTGTTCTCTCCCACAGTACGCTGTTGTTGATCGTGTCTGGCTAACGAATCCGAAGTATTTTTCGTAGACAACTGTTAATAAACACTTGTATCTTCTGAATGATGGCTTTGGTAGTTCTCCAAGTTACCGTTCCATACAGTAGAACTGTCTTGATATTTATATTGAAAATCCTGATTTCGGTTTGGAGTTCCAGACATTTTTTAACTGTAGAAATGCAGCCCTTGTTTTGCCAATCCGCGCCCTCACATCTGTATCGGATCCACCTTGGTTGTCGATGATGCTGCCCAGATATGTAAAGGTGTTAACGTCCTTCAAGGCATCTCCATCAAGAGCGATTTGGTTGGTGCATGCTGTGTTGTTTCATAGAATCTTGCTTTTCCCTTTATGTATGTTGAGACCTACTGCTGCAGAGGCTGCTGCTGCTATATATATATGGTACGGTGAAATATCGAAATCAAGAGCATTTGAGCCAATAAATATCATGGCAAATAGGCAAGGTAAGTCTGTATTTGTTAGGGATCACTGCGTAAATGCTCAATTTTGTAATTTATTTTCGGAAATCAGAGTTTCTTATTTTCTCTCCGAAAACACCTCTTTTACCTTCAGTCCATATTTTCCACTTGGAACAACCTGAAACCTCATTGGTTAGTTTTTTGCTTTTAGTGTGCTATATTGTAACTCTTCTTGAGCAGAAATTTTTATGGCTGTTGGTGCTTGAGAAATTTCAAGTGAACAACGTTAACGATATTTAAAACAGTAATGTCTAGCACAGTCACAAGTTTGATTACTTTAAACTATGTTTCTCATAGTCTTCTTATTTATGAATGATTATCGTTGAAAAGAGATTTTCATTTTTGACTGTGCTGTAAATTTCTATGAACTTTGTTCTTAGATTCTTCTATTCTGTTGGCAAGAATAAATGGTGAATAGTCATATCATGACGATATCTTACTAAATTAGAAAAACATGCTTCTTCTTTTGGGGACGATAAAGTTTTGTAGTTTGTCGACTCCAGTTGTTTCTCCCTCGCTGAAATTCGATATAAAATATTGGGTTCTAGTGGAAACGAGAATTACAAATGACCTATGAAGGGACCTTTTTACAAATTCCTTAAATTTACTTTCGAATGCATACGTTGATGGAAATACAGCTATGAACAATATGGTTACAAACAAACTTGCTGTGCTTGTAGCACCACTTTTCGTCGTTATAAGTGTACGTTATTGTCATTATAATTATTATTAATGGTAAAACGGTTATCTTTCCGACCATTTCGAATTTATGGTACAGGTTGTGTAGTGATTATCATCTTATTGAAATCTTACAATAGGAAGTTATCTTTGAGTTTAGTTAGTTCTCTCTCTTCCCAAATAACACGAAACGCACGTCCTGGATCCCACTGCTAGCTACTATCTACCCCTGATAGTACTGTCTGTAATCTAAAAGCAATGGGCTCAGGATACTCTATGCCGAACAGACGGATGAATTCCAGCACCAAATGTAAATTGGAAGATTCAAGCAACCAATGCGAATGAATTGAACATGGCCAAGTTATGAAATGACTATTTTGAACACTTTTATTAGAATGGAATGAAACTGTTTGTGAAACTCTGGAGATGAAAACGCACCAGACACCCATTTTATTCCACCTGTTTAATATTGAGTACCAAATAGTACTTATGAAGTACAGTGACTACTGTATTCAACAACATTCTGTAATCTCGGTTTAAAACTCCAAAAGCGCGCATTCATCTAAATAAAATTTATCAAAACTATGAAACCATCAAAATGATTTTGAGACGTAAAGTTTCTTTCCTTTAATCGAGTAACAAACCATATGTTAAGCATTTTTTTCATCCAATGATTTTCAGTTGATTATTGGTCCAATCAAATCTTAACCAACTAAAATTTGAGATTGACGTACAATCTTGACAAATTGTGAAATTCCCTACAAAATATTTAGAAGAAAATATGGTCTAGTTTCCGAATGTTATGTTCGTATCGTTGTTAAATTAATCCATGACAAATCTATCACATTCCCGAGGAATGTATTTACTTGAATCACATAAATCCGAGATAACCATGAAAGAACAAAAGTCTGATGATGGAAGTATTTGTTTCGGTCCATTGCATCGTTATGTTCATTTAAATGATGCAGCAAATTCACAAATATTTACATTTCTCTTACTACCACATCTTTTATGCGGTTTAGTAAATTATGTTGAGACACAAGTTTTCCAGTATGCTGAACATGAATGGTTTGTAAAATTTGAAAGGACCGATACGCATCTGGGTGTCTATTTGGAATTGATTACGCGCAAATCCGAAAATGCCGAAACCATGTTCATAGCATCATCACATATACCAATGAATAAATCAGACCGTAATCTGACTAAACGTCCAACACAATGGAAAACTGTTACGTTAGATTTTGAATTCATCATAAAAAATCGAGATGATTTCAGTCAGAATGTGTGTTTCTCAAAATCGAATTGTACATTTACACAGGAAAGTTGTAGACATGGACGCAAAAATGTCATAGATTTACCGACATTATCATCAAAACGGTTTTTATTTGATGACGGCAAGTGTATTATAGAATTAGGGTTACGTAACCCTCATGTATGTATAAAACTACAAGCAAACCAAGTCGAAGATCCCACAAACCAGCTATTGATGAAAAAAGGCAGAAAAAGAACACGTAACAATGGTCCTATAGTGTTAAGAAGAATGGATAATTCGTCAATCACTTTTCCGGATACCATTCATTTAGAAACTGATCATTTTTCATATGCTGGTGATACATGGGTTCTTACCATTGACATTGAACCATATCGTGATATGTTGAAAAGTTTAACCTTCAATAATGATAATAATCATGATGTATGTGCTGATGTAGAAATATGTTTAACAAAAAAGTCAGAGCATAAAGTTGACAATATACATCATGATGTTGAGAAACCACTTGGAACACAATGGACACGCCTGCTGTGTAATGCCTATCTACCAGGTGAATGTCATACAGGGCTGATGAAGTTTTTAATAGGATCACATGGATGGCCATTAAAGGCACATTGTTGCACATTCGATGAACAAACAGATGAAGTGAAACAACAACTGCAAAAAGAAACAGAACAAAGTCAAATTAATATTTTGAAATTTAATTCATGTGAATACTTGGAAAAACGTCGAACAAGTACTCATCAATCAGCAGTTGCTTTACTTTTGGGCACAGTTTCATCAAAATTTTGCATCACATTGGAAATGATAAATTATGAACGGTTAACAGTGGTTAACTTTCCGATAGATAACTGCGATAATCTTAATCATGTCAACAGTTGTCTCGTTATGGATCCGTTTTCACTTCCTTGGAGGCTGTTTCTGAATAGATCATCACGTTTGGTACGAGTAGGGCTGATTCCGGAGCAGAAAAAAAATTTAGAACATGATACCGGATGTGTGAATGTCAGTAGGAAATCGCCAAAAAGAGAAAACAAACAACTGCACTCAGATGGTAGCACTATGCCGAGCGGTTATCTGTACCTCTTCGGTTGTAGGCTTCGTATTCAAGGTACCCATTCCAGTAAAACTAATCCTTGTGTTATTGAACCAGTTGGAAAAGAAATTTTACAAATTGTGTGCAAAAAATCGGATTTCTATAGCGAATCACTGTTACCTAACCGATTTCAACATGGTCGGGTAGATGTTTCCCAAAATAATTTGAATATACTTTTAATTGAAAATTTATCAAAATATTTACTAATAAACAGTGCTACTGAATTGTTACACAGTCTGTGTATTAATAATGTTATGGATATAGACAATAAAATGTCTGAACGTTTATTGAGGAAAGCCAATCAAATTAGTAGCGTACAGGTGGCGATGGAAATAACAAGCCAAGAGGTAAGTGACCAAAAAAATTATTGTTGTTGATTCAGTAAAAGGTTTATTTATTGTTGTGTTTATTGTCGGTTGGACACATCTGAGCTGAGTATTCTAATACATACATTCCAGAATAAAATCAACTAAATATGTGCTACGAAACTATAAAATTAAACATACAACGAACACAAATTATCAGTTCTCCCGCGAACCACAAAAACATCACTTTCTAAGGATAAGAGCTTCCAACCTGACTTATAGCGACATGAGTTAGGTAGCGAGATTAAAAATAATTATTAATAATAATGAAGTTTGTTAGTGTTTGTCGTCCGAGTCATATACTTCGGCTCAAATAGAACATGAAATCTTGTTATGTTTCAATAACTGCATTTCGTCGACTTCATATTAAGTTTGATAATGTAAACCTACTCTTCACAGTGTGATAGACCATTTACTTTGAAATTGGGGCCGATCACTTGGAAAAAAGTAATACAAATTACTTTTAAAGCATTCTAACTGTTTTCCTATATGGTATGGTAAATACGAATCAGAATATATCTTGTTAGTTAAATATCTAAGTTTTTTATATCTGTTTCGGGTCTATGCAGATAATTTATTTCAAAAAGAACAAAGCAATGATTTACTTAACATCAAGTTACAATTTTAATCATATTAAGTAATTTAATATCTTTACATTTCTTGTCACTTGCAAGTTTATTCAACGCCTAATTACATCATTTTGAAGTAACTTGCTAGGTCGTTTTTTAGATGTGTCTCTTTTTAATGTCTTGTTCCTGTTGAAAAGTATGCTTAAGTGACCTGACATTTTTTTATCAATCAAATATTTTTTTCAGTATTTAAGACTTAATAGACATGAGATCTATCACTTTTAATCCCTATTTAATCCAACCATAACTTTCACATCCATACCCTAACTTATTGGTACTATATAACACAATTTTGATGGATTTGTAGATTTGGATTTTGAAGAATGAGTGATTGAAAAAACAATTCTTCCGCTAAATTTATTTCCAGAAAATACAACAAACAATATCCATTTTTGATTATACTGAAACATACACTATTGCTATCTACTTAAATAGTTATAGTATTCTTCAAATCAGATGAACATAAGCTTTAATTTCTCACACCAATCCGCATATAAAGATTAAATAGTAAACTTCAGTAGACCTTTGTTTGATTTAAGAAATATGAAATCAGTGTCGATTTAGTAAACAAATTTTTTGTTTGGAGAATAAACAAAATTGAAATTTAACAAATGTATTAAAACCTCTTGGAGTTAATTGTGAAGTTACATGGTATAGTGTGTTTTGACGAAAATCAAAAGTAATCAGTAAATGTTCGAGTGTACACAATTACATACTAATTTAATTGAAGTGAATTGAAAGCTGTTTTACAAATAAGTAGCATATCTTTTTATTTTTAAACTAAAAAAACTCATCTATAACCAACTCTAGCTTCTCCCTAACGTCCACACTATAATGAGCAGTATAGTCTCCTTTATGTAGGTAAATGCTTAAACATATGGTACAAATTAGTAAGTGCCAAATCATTTTCTATTGACCATTTAAATATTCACCAAAGTCAGTGAGACTTGAGGGGGCAAAGTTCATACGGTTAGTTTCCATCGTTAATTAATGCACTGATGCAGGTTATATGTGAAATAATAAAAGGTGTAGATATATTTTTTGCTCAGTTTTCCAGTATATATCCATTAACGACAATATCATCTCATCTCTTGTTTGTAGAAAGCAAGAACAAAGAATTGAGAAGAAAAATATGAATTCATTTTATTTCGTAAGATTCTCATAAACTGTTTACAACCCATAATATCTTATTAATCAGGATTTTTGTAAAGTTTACATACTCATAATAGTCAAAACAGTCACATTCCATTATGGTGGAGTGAGAATGAAGACATATAAAGAGTGTTGTGAATAAAAATTGTACGTGAGAGAATATTGTAGTAATTGTAATCAGACAGTATCAAGAAATCATAGATATATAATAGTTAAATGACCGATCGATGAAATAGAGTATTATTCAATATATGATCAACAATATGTGAAACACCTGTTATTACCTTTTCAACAATCCTTATAAAAATAATCAGTTTACCATAGGACAGGAAAAGTATGATAAATTCCATTTTCTCGATATCGGGATACTATGGAGACAATTCATTATTCAGTTAATCGAAAAGATATTTGGAGTGTAGTTTATCTTCATTTTAGCAGCTGCTGCCCGATTAATTACAGAAAAGGAACTTATCAAAACATTGTTTCACATAATCAAAAGTATATTCACTCCTGACAAATTAGGAGCAGAAATAATGAACGTTAAAGAATATCTATGAAACAACGCGGTTCCAAAGGAATTCATTGAGAAATATGAAGACTGTCAGTTTATTGCATCATTGTTGCAAATTTTTTCTCTCTCTTTTTTTAATTGCATTAGTTCTTTCAAATTCATAACTTTGCTTTTAACTGATTGACGTTAACTGACGTTATATTTAAGTATCATGAAATTATGTTCAACTACTTCATTATATAATCAATCAATTAACTGTCATATATCTATGATTTCTTGATACTGTCTGATTACAATTACTACAATATTCTCTCACGTACAATTTTTATTCACAACACTCTTTATATGTCTTCATTCTCACTCCACCATAATGGAATGTGACTGTTTTGACTATTATGAGTATGTAAACTTTACAAAAATTCTGATTAATAAGATATTATGGGTTGTAAACAGTTTATGAGAATCTTACGAAATAAAATGAATTCATATTTTTCTTCTCAATTCTTTGTTCTTGCTCCCTTCAAGATAATAAAGGGTACTAAATGCATGAAATATACTTGTTAAGTGTCGAAAAATCACCTTTTGGAGCATACCTTGGAAAAAATCAAATAAGATGGTTAGATGTTGAGAGCTCTGACATTTACTAACTGATGTGGCTGATATGGTAACACTATAACTTAACGTCACTTCTAGGTGGCACAGTGATGAACGCTTATATGATACTTAATGTTCTGAAATAGATTATTAATAATTCTGATGGTCGTAAACTTTATAGATATGCAGTTTCTTTTCGATACAATGCGAAGAGAATTTGGAAACTGGGTTTTAGGCATATTGACTGCCATCTTTTGCAGTAAATGTTAGTAGATTCACTATTTCAGCATTGTAGTTCCACCTAAAGAGATCTTAACTATAGACCACATTTGAGAACCTTAGAACTCTGAATTCCAGCTATGCTCAGCAGTACATATCTAGTTCTAGTGGGAAGCCATAGTCGGGTGTGAGACAGCAACCACCACAGGCAAAGGATCAAGATTTGCATAACAACAATAACTTGTTGAGGTAATACAGTAACATCGTTGGATACTGACTCACTAAAGTAGATGTTACACATCCTCATGTTAGACCGGATTCGATTCCCTCGTGTGAAGTTGTGGATGCGCACTGTTGACTCGCATACTAGGTCGAAACGGCTATCCAGTAATTCTTAGTACGTAAGGGTGGTTTAGCTTAGTTTGAAATTGCTACAATAAAATAATCTCTACAAAACTTCGATACGACTAAATGACTGGTTATTTTCTCTTCTACGGTACAAGCTATACCCACATATACATTAAAAAAGCATTAAACTAGTACAATAAATTGTACTACTTTAGTTTCGTTTGTTATGCCCGTTATTTTGATTATAGAGTTAGAAATAAGTCAAGCCAGGAGATTTTATAAATCACATATTATACTTATCGGTTCGTAACTAGGGAAGTGGCTGCATTTCTAAAAGCGATTAAAAAAATAATTTTCTGGTTAAAGTACTATTTAATATCACTTAATGATGGATGAATTCAAACGAATCAAATTTCGGTCAGAAATAATCAAGCAAATCTCGGATACGAATGAAAGAAAATAAACACTATCTTTGTTCCATTTCAGTCCTTGAGAATGTCGACGTCACACCCTCTTTGATTTAAACAGAACAACAAAATCTACTAATTAAAAGCAAATGTATTGATTTTTTGTTGAAATAGAAGTGTTTTTTATTTTCAAGAATTCTAATTTGCACGTCAGTACAATCTAACAGCCAATATAATCAAAGATTTTATCAAAATTCACGTGATCTAAGTAGACGAAATACAATTGAAGGGGAAATGTACGTTATTAACTTGTTTTCCATAAATCTCATCATCTCAAATAAAATGGGTAATATTAAATTAAGCTCTCTTTACAGGTTGCTTAAAATTTAGCTTACAGAGGAATGTCGAAAAACAGAGACTAGTTTTTAAAAATGAACAATGCATTCAATTTACGACTGGGATTTAGGACTCTGAAGCTATGGAAAAGAGAATAAAGAATGATAAAAAGTAGATGGAATGTGACTAGCACTGGAATCCAGGACGTGAGTCTCATCCTATTTGAGACTCGTCAGCTGAATCTCAGAGTTGATGTTCAGTTCGGGGCCCGAACCCGCCACTATGAGCACCAATATCAAGTAATTATCCACACAGGCTACCGAGTCTCCAGGTATTGATTAACTTGTGTAAAGGGTATGAGATTTGATTCAATTGGAAATGGTTCGAGTTATTCCACTGTTTATATTTTGACTGAAATTCGATCATTCTTGACTGACTTATGAAGATCGTGTGCTCATTGTATCTATATAGTCGTTATGACCGAAGTTGATGTAGAATTGATGGAATGTGAGAAGTAGTGGAATCAACTTTTGAGCTGAAAATCAACTCTGAGATGCAGGAATATCCAGATGACGAGTCTCAAATAGGATGTATTCCACTGCTAGTTACATTCTATCAGTTCTACATCAACTTCCTTAAGAACGGCTAATATAGAGGCGATTCGCACAGGATGCTCATATGCCAATCAAGGAAGATCGAATTTCAGGCAGAATATCAATAATGGTATATTTTAAACCATATCAAATAAAGTAAAAATTTCAAAAAAAATATCTGATAAATTTATTTTTGAATCAAGTGCTTTTTTCAACGAGCTCAATCACTGGATTTCATTCAATATTTGAATATGCCTTTTTCTAATACTAAATGAATAGAAGAACAGTCAATCTTGCCTGAAGTGAAATTTTATCTGTAATCAAGCAATATGCTTATTTTATCATGCTATATATATATATATATATATATATATATATGTTTTTTTTGCTAAATTTTTTCCTGTTTCCCATAGGATTAAATATATATTTGTTTTGTGTTACCCAAAGAGCAATGAAAAAAAATTCTAATCTCGGGATCTAAATTTTGGGTAGTTTAGTTGCTTTGTAAAGCTATTAGATATTGAAGATCATATTATAATTGATAACTCATGAAATGACTAAAAAACTGAATTATTTGAACTTATATTACGAGCACGGATTTTAACCATTGGGGATTTTTATTACTCCACCTTAATCACGTGTCCATGTACTATCGAGAGTGTTAAAGTATGAATATTTGTTTAGAGTATCTGATCAATAGTAAACACTTTTTAACGCATATTGTAGGTGGCCTAGCTTACGGATTCATAATGATATCAGTGAACAAGAGGGATAAAGAACCCGTCTGTAACCGGCAATTTAGTCTGTACTACAAATAAGATAATTGTTATCGCTTCTTTGTTATTCAGAAATGTCTCTTTTATATAGAATAAACATAGTTTGTACATGTTGTAAAAGTGAATTGATCACTGTAAATTGTTTAGGGAATCACAGAAATAAACAGCATTACATCCAGGTTGACTAAGGTTTAATCATAATGTTTTTGATTTGAATGAATCCCAAATAAGCATTTCTTTTTTGTTCTCTTCAGCTAACTGATTCAAATATGGGAATATTAAATCCTAAAACAGGCACTATTACAATTGAAATTCAGTGGTTATACAGACATCAAATATACATTGATACACTTTATCAAACAGATGAACTTGGTGCCCGGCAGTACCATCAAATGAGGTAATTCAAATAACAATATTAAATCATACTTTAATGTATGTATATTTAAATTTAAGCGACTATACATGGCACATTTGTTTACAGCTCACGACAAATCCAGAGTATTTTAATTTAATTTATAGGATCTGGACAGATAGGTGGACTGTTATAAAATTTGGGCTGCTATTTTCTAACCATCTGAATATCACCAAGTTAGATAGTTTTTCTCTGTTTAAATTTATATATATCAGACAACCATTATATTTATTCCCGTGTTCAAATAATACAGTTTGTAAAATAGGGTAGAATTTAAAATCCAACCATGTAGTGGTTGGCTACATTCATTAAGAAGAATGACAGTTATTCTCTATTCCAGAAATATGTCTTTCTCAACACGTATCACCCTTAGGAAAAGTATGATTTTATTTATTACCTATTATAGTATTTCAACTCGTTTTTTAAAATTTTTTATAATCCTTAAAATGTCCTTATACATCGATTAATATCAACTCAGATTCAAGTAAAATTAAACAACAAATATATGCGCAAGATTTTATGAATATCGAAAGTTTTTATTGATGAATCATCCCTTAATTTGTATTTGCGAAGAACTTTGGGAAGATCTACAAGAGGAAAACCAGCAAGTGCCATGGTTCCGTCAACACGTGGAACTAATGTAAGTTTGATATATATAGGAACTTCAATAAAGAATATGAACTTGTTGGACTTTGTATTCTATAAGTTCCATGTTGTGCTAAATATAATACAGTAACACAAAGCTCTTGTTAGTAACGTTGTTCAGGGCAGTGATATTGTTTTCTTTTTGGAAAAAATGTTATTACTTGGTGAAATAGAACCTACATTACAAAATTGCGGGCAGATTTTAGTCCTTTAACATTCCAGTAGTTGAAATCATTCAATACATTATTTTTGGTAGACTTCAGAATACGTATTAAGAGTTAGCAAGAACCTCTTCGAAAAAACGTACAGACGAAAATGAAACTGTTTAATATTTAAGCACTGAATTTAAGTTGTAGAATATAAAGGTGAATGTATTAACAATGAAATATGTATGTTTTGCTGCAAAGCAATTTTAGCTGTCTCCAAGATTAGTTTTATTTCAATGACGACCATGAAGAAACTAAGAAAGTGAACCTAGAGAACATGGATAGACAATGTTCACTAAAGCGAACCATGAAGAGATCATAACTGCGCAGGGTGCGGATCGGCAAAGCAAGTGCTGTATTTCTACAATTGAAAAACATCTGGAACTCCAAACAAATACCAACTAACACCAAAATCAGGATTTTCAATACAAATGTCAAAAGAGTTCTGCTTTTTGGGGCGGAAACTTATAGAACTATGAAAGCCATCATCCAGAAGATACAATTATTGATTAACTGTTGTCTACGCAAAATACTTCGTATTCGTTGGCCAGACACCATCTGCAACAATATACTGTGGGAAAGAACGAACAAAATTGCAGCGGATGAAGAAATCAGAAAGAAGTGGTGGAATTGGATAGAATTAACACTGCGGAAAGCATTAAACTGCATCACAAACAAGCCTTCACTTTGAACTCTCAGGACATGAGAAGAATGAACAAAAATTGGACAGAAGTGGAAAGAGAGGCCTGGGACAAAGTAGGTTGTAGAATACTGGTCGGTGGCCTATGCTTTATTGGGGGTACCTGGTGTAAGTGAGTAAGTTGTGGTTGGGAAAGCAACTGAAAAACCATCCATATTTGACTATTCACTGTACGATTATCCAATGCATAGAGAGACGTTGAAAGGTCAATTTTTATATCTTACAACTTTTAAGATTATGATATTATTGAAAATAAATAATATCTTATTCAGACCATAATAGATTTAGAAATTTTAATGCATCGATTTTCAGATACTAGGATTAAAGGATATTTCGATGAGTTAACTCAAGCTAGAGTATTCCATGAACAGCATGTAAAACTAGAGACTGCAAATCGATATTACTCCAGAAACTATAAAGTAATTGTGAAAACATATATTATACTGTACAGTTTATGTCTGTATTCATCATTAAGTTCCATAGCTATAGTATATGTTTTCCTTGTGTTGTGTTACCATTTTGTTAGGCGGAATACATTATATATTCTAAATCTTTCCCTAAATTCCTAATATTTAATAACTTTTACATTCACAGAACATATAATTGATTGCGCTGCTGTTTTTCTAGATACCACTTGTACGCTAAATGGTGAAAGAAAATCCTTATAGTTTGAGGATCATACGTGAATATGTCCAGGCAACTGGCTTGTCATGTTACATCATAAGTATTTATGAATGAACACATTAAACAACACTAAACAAGAAAATAGTACGTATACGCAAATCATGACCTAGTATTCCTCATGTGTACTTGAACATGTCTAATCATCACCATCTTAAATGGTTTCCTTCTTCATCAAAATAAAGTGACTATCATTCGACGTTCTAATAGACTGGTTTAAGCTTACTTCTTTCGTTTATTTAAACTTATCTCTTTCATCAAAGTTTCATTTTCAAGGGCATGTGAGAAATCCTTTGCCATTTACCAAGAGATAATATATGCGTTTATTCTTTTTCTCTTACTACTTTGTAGGTTTCCAACTCTCTTACTTCAAAGAGATTTTGATGTACTTAGTTCTGTAGTACTGATCTAATCAATAATATTCGATGTTGACGTATTTAACCTTCTAAACTTTAAGCTTTTATGTAACAAGACACGGAGAACACTAAAGCAATATGTTATGGAAAGTATCAATTAACTCCTAAATTATTTTTGTCGAATTTATGTGTATTACGGGGTTGTGAAGATTGTTAATTTACACATTTTTGAAACCATGAATCGATCAATGTTAGACCATCATTAGGAACCTGGAAGCACTGAGAGACGGCCGTTTCGTCCTGGTACGGGACTCATCAAGTTAGATATTAACACCGTTAGATACCGGCTCAGTGGCCCAGAGGTTAGGCGTTCGCGCACAATACCGAAAGTCCTGGGTTCGATTCCAGCGGGGTGCAGGAGTTGTGGATGCGCACTGCTGATGAGTCCCATACGAGGATGAAACGGCCGTCTTTCAGTGCTTCCAGGTTTCTAATGGTGGTTTAACATTGATCGATTCATGGTTTCAAAAATATGGAATTTATATGTGTAATCAATTTTTTATTATTTAACCTTCTAATGAATTAATTTTATGGTCTTTCTGAATGAAGCCTGGTTGAGAGAACTTAGATGAACATATTTTTTACAATACAATGATGTTCAATGTAACAGTCGAGGCTAGAGATAGATTTTCAACCTCTAAAAATACGATCTTAAACCTTCTTTAATCGCACATATTTTTAATCAGATGTCACAAAACAATCTTCTAGATTATTATTTACAAATCTAAAATTAAAATGAAAACTAAAAACTGTAAGCAGCCATGAATGGACACGAGATTCATCAACATGTTGATGTGCATCGCAACTCAGTTTAATATAATTACCACAAGTATTTGATGATCATGAATATGAATATTCATGATCACCAAATACCCGAGTACAAATGATTTAGTAACCCAGTGGTATTGAAAGTATTGATTTATATTTATCCTTAGATAATCACTCAGCTGACTGATTTCGTCGTTTTTAGTCCTACTACTGACTTTATAAATACGTGTTATGGATCGTTAAGTATGTTTATGGAATAAAAATAAATTCATTGAATCATTTCAAGTTATGATGTGAATATGGTCTAGCGATTTTAAAGACTATTGAATGGATAATTCTTATACTCATTAAGTATACAATTACTCGAAAAAAAGCAACTCAATAAATATCTCTCAAGTCTGAAACAATATGTAGGTATCGTGTTTACTCATCCAGAGGAATCGCCAAATATGTTTCTGCGAATTTGATAAATTTTTTGGCCATTTAACTTTCAATGAACGTGTTCAGAATTTTCGAGTACTATAGTTATTATATTACAAAATACTTTACTACTTGATGAAATTTTATTCAAAAACAGACACATTAAGTTGTTTCCTCTTTACTTTGTTCTTACTACAAACATATCTTTAATTACTAGACAGATAAATGAAAACTTGTTTAAATTCATGGTGTTTCATTTAATGCATTCTTTGACAGTAGGTTCCATTTTATTTCGTTGGTTATTGATACATATATGAGTTCAGAGATATTTTACATTGTCATTCAAGTGACCTTAGGTATCTCTTTTTAAATTCTTTCAGATATGAATTATTGAGAATCACCAAAGAAAAGGATGAATTGGAACGACAGCTTATGGGATTCCAACTTGGTTTAGTTCAGATTGATGCTCGTTGTCAAGGTCCTAAAAATATGCTTCCACTAGAGGCCATTCCTAGTGTAGTTGGTAATTTCAGAACAACTGCTGTGCCATCAGTTGAAGAGTGGCATGACTTCAGTCGTTATGGTGACAATGCTATGTTTCAACAATCGTGTTACAGAATGAACAATCCTGTTTTGAAATATGAGTGTTATAATCAGTACACAAAACCACATTCACCACATTTACCATCAACCCATTCAGATAAATTGAAAACATGCAAACCTTATGGATTATCTTTAACGCATCATACGGAGAACAATATTCGACATAGTTTGTTAGACTATGAGTCGTCAGAGGATCCCGTGCCAACGGCATCATATCCTGTTTATCAACCATCCTCAAGGCAACCTCTGAGTTTCAAATATGGGTAAGTTACGAAAACCACAATCCAGTCTCAGTTCATGGTTTTAGTAGATCCGAACAAATATATGAACAAGTTTAAAATAGGCAAAAAAGCATTTGACTAATGAAAACTACAACTGGAATAAATGAAAAGTATTGTCTATTTAAGGAGAAAAATAAACGGCTTAAAGACAATGGGATTTTTCAACTTCTAATCATTAATTTAATAATTCTATTCCTTACTAATATTTTATGTCTGATGAGTTCTGTTACAACTTTATAAACTAGCCAAGGAACATAGAGACACTGAGACTTATGTAATGCAACGAAGAAGTTTAAATCACCCTAAAAACCACAAAAACGTGTTGAGCAAACACCTTAAATAATCATATTTGAATTTCACTGTTTATGAGTATTATGTATAAGTGAAATAGTAGAGATACAGCAAATTTTTTATACTGCAATTATGTAATCGACTGCTATGCTGAACAAGTCACGCAAAATCAAACATAATTTCGTGCTTTATTCCTAAACGCTATGCACTGGAAATAGGACTGTATGTGATCTCACAATGTAATACTCTTAAAATACATAATAAGTATAAACGTTCGAGTATTTACATAAAATTATGAAAACCGACACTCAGTGTGCTGTTTGTACTTAGTTGAGATGCTAGATTCGTAAATGTGGTCTGAGTTCCTCTAAGGACATTCGTTTAGTGTCTTAACTAAAAGGACTTCAAAATAAAACATAAAGCCTGCATGGTGTGTTGTATTGATGACATTACCAGGCAGAGCTACAGTCCATGAACGGATAATTGTTTAGTACCATTTAAACTCGATATTCAGCATCTCTTGGTTTGACGGATTGAATCCATTTTTGATTTTAAATACATTTCTTCAGTCCCAGCTTCCCCTAAGCAATTAATCAATTATAAGTTATCTCTTGTATTCGTTTGTTACTGCATGCTATTCATAAACGATAACATAATGTCAAGATATCTTTTCATCTATACGGGAAATGAAAGCACAGTGTAAATGGAACTAGTTTAAAATGGCTTGTAAGTTGTTGAGCTGATCCGTCAACTATCTATGGAACATTGAATTTAGAGGTCAAACAAATAAGAACTCAAAGGAAATTGATCTCAACAGATGCTGATTATTCATACTTTAATCTTCACTTATATTCAGTCGAAGCAATCTGAAAGGGCTATAATAATAATAATAATAATAATAATAATAATAACAGAAACAATAATTTCTCACCAAAATTTACGAGGAACTTGAAGATATCACTTAGTGCTTGATAGGGAAAGTTGGACAATTTAGTTATGTCATAGTTGACAGAAACTTTGATATTTTCCAGGACGGTGCTGATAAGAAATTTGTCATAAATCAAAAATGATATTTTACTTGACTCTGTTACACTGAATAATTCTACTTAAGAAAAAATATTTTTATAGTAACAATCTTTTATTTGGTAGTGTTAGAGAATGAAATGGATTCACTTTTCAAATCAGCTAAATAATGACAATATGAACTGCTGTTTGTACGTGCAAGCTGAATTTTTAAAACATCCTTCTAAACTAACTAAAATATTGTTAACTAAATCAGCAACTTTCGTTGAAATCATGAACCGGTTAATGTTAGACCATCATTAGAAACTTGAAAGCACTAGACGGCCACTTGGTCCTAATACGGTACTCATCAGCATTGCTTACAAACGACCCCGAAAGTGGGGCAATGATTAATTTCGTGAAGCTATCCCCGAAGTCCCAGTAGACATCTGTGACCAGTGGAGTTCAATTCGTGTCGGGTAGGAGACAGTTAATCTTCGAAAACAATCAATGATGTTGTACAATATTGTGGATTGATTGAAATTAGACATCAACACTGTTGGATTAAATCAATTAATTCTTTATGAATGTGAAATGACTTTTGTAGACATTTTGCATTACGATTTATGAGATTGGCTGTTGCACATAATTATCATTACCAAGGTTTGAGTTAATAATTTCAAATAAATTGAGCATTGAGTAAATTGTTAATAATAAAGTAATATATTTGTAGTATCTCAATCAGTAGAGAATTTTCTCTCCTTACCACACTACAAATATGTTGTTGCATTATTGACTCTTGTATATATATGTGCTTATAAACCTGAAAAACACTTATGACATACATGATACTGTCTTTATTGAAATTGAACAATTTTTAAGATCGTTATTTGATACTTTCAAGTTACAAAACCTCTTCACCCTATCTGAAAATTAAATTTTTCGTAACTCAGAACGCGAATAGAATGACTCCCAATTTCTTTTGGACTTGATGAGTATTTGCAAGTGTTGGTTACCTAGTAGTCACGTTGAACACTTTATGCAGATGTTAGAATATTCACTAGAATTCTGTTAAGTTAAAAATAAAACGAGACGTATATCATTTATTCGAATAAATAATAATAAATGGTGCTACTTTGAGTTACTTTTTATTATTGTGCTCAATATATAATATTTTCTGTTGAATTTTACTATTTCTTTAGACTTTCCGAGAAAAGAAAACAGTTTGTGCGTTCAAAAAGTAGCTGGAAAACCTATGAAGCCGTTAAATATCACCCTGACACTGATTTTCATTCAGTTCACTCATCCAGATTTATTGCACAGAAATCCAACTTAAATAGACATTCTAGTCAAAGTTGTATGGAAAGAAACTTTAGTCCACTTTAAACACATTGAGATCATCTATGTTACTTGTATTTAACTGACATAGTGAAAACTAATTTTCTTTTCTATTTTGATGATATATATTACTGATATTTATGATATACGTCATTATTAATCATATAATTTGAATTATCTGTTCTTTTGATCAACAAACCATTGACATGAAATTTGAAATGAACCATTACTTAAATTGCACAAACTAACTTTTCTTCAAGCATTTTGATATATCAAATTTATGAATATTTCTTCTATCTTATATTAATCACCGAAAATCGTAGATTTTCATAAATATGTAGTAAAACTTACTGTTTATACAATGCATTGAAGTGTCCATGTGTATTAAGCTTCTTTAGAACAGTTAACCACAGCTGCCAAAAAACCCCTTATTTGAGAAGCATTGAATTAATTCGTAATTTTTCTACTATATAACCATTCCTAAGCACAAATTTAGTTGTTTTTTTTTCATATACTCTAGCTCTGTTAAGGCTCATCAATATAATTTATGTGAATGCAGCAATATTTCAGTAAATATAACGACACTAAAAAATCTTTTTGTTTTACAGCCAAACTGTTTTGCATTCTGTCAAGTAATCTTTAAAGATCTATATTATTTGGAAAGATTATATAACCAGTTTGAAGGAGACATTTCCAAATGTAATCAGGAGAGCACTGAGTCGATTTCAGTGAATACCAAATAATAAACTACAATCATGGACCCAAAATATAACTTTAGAACTTAGCAGCTTGATTTCTTCTGAACCAGTGCATATGTAACGTACGAAGAAGTTAAGACCATAAGGATTAATCTATATTAAAAGAAGACAGCTTATTTACAACATATATACACATAATGTTTAAACATCCGCTTGAAATATAAACAAACTTCTGTCTTCTCTCATATCTTTTCCGATCTTGAATATTCTCTGATCCACATTAGGTATTTTGATGTCCAGACTCTCCTCTCTTTGAAAGCAACTTCTGGGCAACACTTCATTGTATGCTACTTATGTATCACCTTGTGAGTAGTATCCAATACACAAGTATATAAGATGAACGGCGTCTCGTATTCTGTTGCCGAAAATTTGTAAACTACTAAATTTTTTTGAGACCAGTAGTCAAGATTTCATCGTTATTAATTCTCGGTATTTTCACTGGATCCACAGTACCTAAATGCTAGGAAAATTCTCTTTCTTCATACTTTCATATAAACTAGTCGGTTCAGATCTCCAACTCCAATGTTCTGAGTAGTAAAACTAGAAACCTCGCATTGATTTTTAATTAATAGAAAACAAATTGCATTTTGTGCTACTAGTAGGTATGACCAAGTGTCATATGTTTTGTATGTTTTTAAAGGATGGTTTTGATAAAAACTGTTCGAAAATTTTAACCCAACGCCTATTACAACTAAAACTATACAGTCTGCTTCAATCAGAGACGTTATTTACAGATTTAAATAAATTATCCTGCTCAGACAGCCATATTCCTAAAAAACAGTCTGATAGTCGCATGGAACAAGTTTTATCTAATAGTTTCATTGAAACTGTGAAAACATACGGAACGATCAAGCCTGGTGATCGGTACATACAAGTTAAGTGTCGTAACAAACTTCCCTATGCTTCAAACAAATCCCTAGTTGTAAAAAATAACTAAAATGTCCATAAAATTGAAGCATACAAGTTGGACACTATTATTGGTTATTTTCCTGGTCATCGGTTGTTTAGCGAGTCAGTTTTCTATGGGATGTGGACGCTAACCCTATGCTCAACTCTCCTCCTTAGGACCGGTAGTAACCCTAGAAGGGCTGTAGGTGGAGTTACAACTCGAAAGAATGAAGATATATTCAAGTCACAGGCTCAACTATTAATCACAACTGCACATAATATTAATAAGTTTAGCGAAATTGTAAATATAAATTTTTTTCATTTTCTTTCTGTTTACGATTTAGAAAAATTAGTTTCTGATAAAATAGACAGATAATGTAACCAGTTCAAATTAACACTCCAATGTTAGATACACCAAATTCACTAGTTGAAATAAGTACGACAATTCTTTAATTAAAAAACAGGGTTGATGACTTCACAGAGTAAGTGCATCTGTCTGTCAAAATATTTCGACTCATGATTTATATTATTTTATCGTGTTTAAGTCAAATATTTTTGACTATACGTTTGGTATTCAAAGTATGGAGAAGTTGAAATCAGTTAAAATATTCAAGAACAATTGATTAAGTTAGTTTGTTTTCATTTATGTCAGAGTGATATGAAGTTCAATTTGATTTCATTAACTATTACTCTGTAACTCCAATACACTGATGCACTAATTCAACTTTTACGTTGTAAAAACAAGTCAAAAAGGAAGAGAATGAAATGAAAGATTAAAATGTATGACGTTTTCCTGTATATCGTAAATTCGGAAGCAAATAAGTTTTTTATAAACAGTGGAGTTATTATTTTCATACAATCCAACTAACTAACTAGACCACCACTGGAAGCACGGAAGTACGGAATCGCCATTTCATGCCAGTATGGAACTCCTCAGTCATAGGAATCCACGATCTTGAGTCCGGAAATCGAATCTAAGACCTTCATATACGCACGGGCAATCTCCACAAATCCCACGTACTAGGATAGTTGCCGTTTATAGATTTCTGTGGGTAATGTGACACTAAATAACCCAATCTATTCCTTATAGATACAGATATATATTAGATGACCAGCATCCTAGATTCCCTTAGCACTTTCAGGGAATGGAAACGAAGTGTTTTGTGTAATTATTTAATTCACAAACACGTTACTAGGTCTACGTAAATAGCCTAAATAACAGTGGGTTTCAAAATTGCTCGATCAGTTTTGCAAAAACTGATAGAGTAAGTTGTTTAGACCAATTAATTTCAACACGAAAATCTGAAAATGAACTTTATTTTATTGGTTATTCAAGTTCTCTTCAGAAGTAGTTAGGCCAAATGTTTGACATAAAACAAAACGATTCTAATTAAAATAGACAAGACAAATCTGTTTTATCACATATGTGCTCGTATTGAGCTTAATTTGACTCAACTTGATAATTACCGCCCTCGAAATGTCATAATTTCAAAAACAATTATGTATCTTTCTAAGCGCTACTAATTTCTAAACCTTAAATTGAACTATAAACTACTGGGATGAGATAGAATTGAGCTAACTCGAGTGATTGTGATTCAAATCTAAGGATTTAACTGTCCTTTTCTGTTTAACAGAACGAACTCTTGAATTATAATCACACATAAAAGCTTTATTAAAATGTATATTTACAATTACATTTGTAACAGTTAGATTGAAAGAAAGAAATAACTGGAAATTCATTTACGTATAACAGATCAGTTATTGATTAGATAAAAGTATGACATTCTAATCACTTGACTGACGGTTTCGTCATATCGTTATGATGCATAATTCAATCGGGTGCAAAAGGCATTTATTTATTTTACTTGAACACATAAAACTATGATCAAAGGGCCATCGAAATTATTATGTGCCATAGAAATTCATGAATTTCTGAGTGGGCTATGTGACTGCTCGGATGCCCAAACCGATAAGGGTGGTTTTCCTAGAAGGCCACTTCATAAGTCTTGGACCTAGAGATCTAGTCCGTTAGGCAACGTCAGGAGTTGCAGTCCCATTGTAGCCGGTCGACATTATTAAGTTTCCACGCCATTCGTTCCATCAGGATCCTGAAACCCACATGCACCACTGATTTAGAAGCAGGGTTCACCGACCCTCTAGATGGATCCTTCTACCTACCAACCTCGTTGAAGCACAGACTCTCTTCGTTTTATCAATTTCGTAAACAGCACCCTCACCAAGAGGAGGAAACGAGGACTTCCCTGGCAGTGGCTATGTTCGTGTGGTCATATGAGAGCATTTCTAGAGATAGATCTAACTCTACCCACCCTTAGACGTACCAGAGCATTGAGGTATTACATCAACTGAAACTGTTCAAGTAACATGGTTGAAGTTATAGTTTTAACTAACAAACAGTTAAAAGTAAAACATCTCTTTACTGAAAATCATGTTTATCTGTTTTGTAGAAGAAATAGAAGCGGACTAGGTGAAGTATCATCTCTTAAATATCTATGTTCTACCTGATATTATGTAATTGAAATGTGACTGAAAGTGTAGCTTAGTCAGTATATTAATAAGCCTGTAGTGTGCACATAAGCGCTTTAGGCTATGATATTCCTTCAATCCTAATTGTGATCAGAGTTTGAAAACACCATCCTGTTTTCTGTCAGAGTATATTCAATCCAGGTATTTTCCTGGATTCGTTTTTTCAGCTTCATTTAGGAAAACTGAGTTTTTTATTGACTTACATTTGCAGACATGTCAACTCTATATTTTATATTCTGATTTTCGATTAGCAGTCATTTAGATAAGCTCTTCTTAAAAAGGGGTTCCTGTATGCCTCTTTTAACATAAATTACGCGCACATATTTTTTTCAACTCGTGATCCATAATGTTTTGAAATAATTGCATCGTATCCTGATTCATAAAACCAACCTTAAGCTTGTCTCTCTCTCTGCTAAATGTCAACATTTAGACCTAGTTAATATTGAATAGAGAATTTTGAATTCTACTGATTTTGCCAAAAATTGCAGACATTGAGCATATGTGTTTTCAGTTAAATATACCTTGAAAAATAGATCAGTTGTTTCATATAATTTTAAAGTTTTCCTTTTGACAAAAAATATGAATTGCAATTATCAACGTCAGAAATCATGCGACTTTGAAAATGATGGAATATATTAACTACGTTATAAATTTTCAGAAACAAATAAGACCAACTCCATGATATAATTTTGCTTCAGTGAATTTTAACATATTGCATAGATGACTTAATTGTTTTTAAACTGTATATTCAAAAATGTCATTAGGGAAAATATTTTTTCTTGACATATTTTATGACAAATTTGCCTCACCTATTTGAATGGGCTTAGACATTGATAAATAAGTGAATTCCTATTACTA